GGCAGGGTCCTTATAGAAGGGCACAGAGTCAACCCCCCCACCTCCAAACCATCCCCTATAGGAACAATGTCTCACCCTCCCTCTCAAGGTGGCCCATCCGGCTTGGGGACAGCTCGGAGTGTTAGGAAGGCCTGCCCTAAATTTGCTTCTTGGCACCCACGCCTCCCCCAGGGGACCCTTTGGGCTAATCCCTCTTCTGTGGGTCGGCTCTCCCAATACCTGTGACATCCTTCATTCATTCCACAAACATCCTGAGCGCCCTCCCTCCGTCCTCCCTGGTACTGAAGACCAATGTCTGGGACACCAACTCAAATGCCTCAGACCCAGGTCAAGCAGGAGTCACAGGGAAGGCCCTGCTTAGTATAGGAGGCTCTGTGTGCCACCAGAGATGCCTGTGCCCTGGCCTGTTGTGCTTAGGGGCAGAGCAGGGATCCTCAGAATCGCTGCTTCTTGGCCCTCCCCCCTCCTTGTGCATGTCCGCTGCCAGAGAGAGAAGAGCTGAGCCAGGGATGACTGACGCTGCAGGCCCCTGGGCTCAGCAGGGCTTTTGACTCAGAGCTGCCAAGAGGGATGACAAGTGAGGGAAGAGAGAGGAGGGGCTCCTCCCAGTGCCCCTGTGAGCTCGGCTCCTGCCTTAGGCTCCTTCTAATCAGCCTTTGGGAGGCCCCTGAGGACATGCCCCTAAGCCTGCACGTCCAACTGACCCGCACTTGGATGAGAAACAGGGCTCCATGGATGTCGCCAGCCAGCCACCCTCAGGCCTCGTCCTTGTTCTGTGGATGACCACAGTGCCGGCTCCTCGCCCGCGCTGGCTGGGGCATCGTCTCTGAGGCAGGATGATGGGGGCTCTGGAGTCCGCAGGGGCTGGCAATCTCTTGGACAGCCTTACCCCTTGCAAAACGTTACAGCCTTTGAGCAAAAATGTTATAGAATCTGCCCACCCGACTAGGGTCTGGCAGCCAGTCCTGCTTGTCAGCGGCCATCTGGCCAAGAGAGCTTGTCTAGTTCTGGAGGTTTCAGAGTAAGGTGATTTGTTGGTGTTTTAGAGGGAAGGGGCATCCTTAATATTCTTCCATTGAAATGCGGCTTAGAGCTAGCACAAAACAAACACCTTTCCCTCCTTTGAAGGGGTACTTAACAGCTGGGAACAATCAAACTGATGACCAGACATTTAGGATCCCCCCTCCCAGGAAGGAATGGGGGGTGCTATGCAGGGGCCTTGCCATCTTCCCACATGCCAGCATCCCCCTTGGGTCCTACTAGTGGGAGCTGGAGCTCTGGCCTCAGTTGCCAGACCAGGCTAACCTCATCCTCTGGGGACGAGCTGAGAATCGTACCTTGTTCTGTTTCAAGGCTCCTTTCTCCTTCATGTGTGGGCAGTCCTTCCCCGTCACAACAGCTTTGATGTCTGCCACGGGTACTGCAATGCACAAAAGACAGTGTGAGTGCCGTGCCCAGGCCAGAGCCCATCGTCATCCCAAGGGTGCCCGGCCTGCCTGCCCTCCCGGCCAAACAGATCCACATGCTTGCACACACACACACACACACACACACACACACACACACACACACACATGCACACACCCATTGCCAGCTTCTGTTTGCACATCAGTTCTGTTCAGTCATATCCCTCCCCCTTCTCCTGGGAGCCCCACTTCTAACAAAGAATAAAAAGGAATGAAAGTCCCCTACATAAGAGACTTTCCCATTAGAAGGTGGACCCCCTGAGGCCAGGAACAGAGCTTGCGGCTTTCTCTGCATAGTTCCAGAACTTAGCACAGTCCCTCCACATAGTAACTGATCTCTACGTGTTGGTTGATTGACTCATCTCAGTGGCCCTGGAGAGCCTCTGCTCCCCAAGGGAGGCAGCACATCCCCAACTCCACCCATTGGTTACTCCCGACTTTAAAAAGGCATCATGTTGATCCAAGATAATGAATTGATGCCATGCCTGGTGGGTGGCAGGGCTGTGAATCCCTGCTGGGCAGCAGGCTTCCAGGGAGGAAGGCCCTTTTCTGGTGTGCTCAGTCAAGGCTGCGCTAAAGCGATGTAACTTGAAGTATCTCCCTAAGTCAAGGAGCCAGGCTGTTCCATCCCTCACAGAGTTATGGCTAAGGAGAAAATACAAATACTAAAAATACAGCGCCACTTTCTAAGCTTGCTCCTTGCCAAGTCAGGCTGCAGAAACCCTGGGAGCTTGGCCGGGTTCCCAGGAGCATCAGAAACTTTCTCTCTGCCCACTCTGGACCCGACCAAGAGGCTGCATCCCCATCTCCCAAATATGCCCCTTTGAAGGAGACAGCCCCTGGGGGAGCCCTGGGCACATCAGAGCCAGTCTGGCCTCAACTCTGCCTGTGTGGGAGGAAGATGAGGAAGAGGGCGAGGTGCTAGGTGAATCCGCAAGGGGTGCCATGGGGAGCTCCGGCCATGGCCTCATTCTCTGTCTGATATCTAGGCCATTTCATATTGTGCTTTGATGTCATCGGGGCTGGCGAGCCTGGTGAGGATCTCTACACATGGTGCAGACAGGAAGAGGTGCCTGGCAGGGTCAGGGATGCCAATATGGGCAGGGGAAGGGATGCAGATATGGGGAGGAGAAAAGACGATCACTTGTCACACTTGTCATATAAAGCTTTTTCAGTATAGAAAGAGGCCTTTCTGACCCTGGGTCTTATGTCTGGGATTTGAGTTTCAGAGAAAGATCCCAGGAAGCATTTATTCAGCCCTGTGTAGGGCAGGGGTTGGGCACAGCCAAGGAGCTATTCCAGGGATAAAGGTGCAAAGACAGATCAGAGATTGGGAGGTGTGTCAGTCTTCAGGCCATCTTGGTCACCCCCCTCATTTTTATAGAGGGGGAAACTGAGGGAAGCCCAAAGAAGGATAAAGTCATTCGCCCAAGGTCACAGAGGGGTCTGAGGTGACTTGATTTTCTGAGGACGGAGATGAGGAATGACACCACCAAGGAAAATGAGTGAGTGGTGTTTGGTTTGGGCAGACAGATGGTCTACTTGGGGGCATTCAATTCAAACAACAAGCGTTTGTTAAGCACCTACTATGTGCCAGGAATCTTTTTGGGTGCTGGAGATACAAAGATGAAGCAGTCCCTGCCCATGGGGAGCTTACATCCTCCTGGACACAGTAGGGCATACAACATGCACTTAAACCTTGGGGGTGGGGGATCTGGACAGGCCTCGTGTGGGAGCAGGTACCTAAGTCATGCTTCGGAGGAGACTCGGGGGTCAGGAGAGTGCAGGGTCCAAGGTGGAGATGAAGCACCGGCTGCATGCAGGGAAGGGCAGGCAGGCCAGTTTGATTAGAAGAGAGTGGGAGCCAGCCTGAACGAGGGGGCTGGAGACGTCTGGTGAGGGGCTCTCCATCCCAGGCTGAGGGTCTGTACTTGAGGAAGTGGCAGTGAGGAGCCCCTGAAGATTTTGGGGCAGGGTGGCTACCTTGACCAAGCTTTGGGCATCTTGCTTTGGCCATCATATGGAGGATGGATGAGAGAGGGGAGAGGCTGGCCTCCGGGAGACCATTGAGGAGGCTTCTGGGACCGCCCAAGGATGAAGCTGCAGAAGCAGAGAGAAGGGGAGACATGGCGGCTCCTGGGAATGGGGTTCCCTTTTTTCCAAAATGACTTTTTTTTCCTATTGGCTCTGGGAGAGCAGGGAGAAGCAGCTTCTCTCTCTCATCCAGCCTGCTGCTGCTGGGGGGAGAATTGCCCTAGATTCTGAGGAATGGAAGGAGCGATGGCCTCAGGCCCTGCTGACGAGTTGGGAAGCACAGACACCGTGCTGGTGGTGGGGAGTGGCTGTTGCCTCTGTAGGACTGAGGGGCAACAGAAACCTGCAGTGAGAGATGGACAGGCCAAGATCAAGGCCAGAGGCAAGAGCTGGCCAGCCCCATTCTGGCCACACCGATGACGAGGAACCAGCTTCCAAGGTTACTGTGGTCCTCTGGAACGGGGTCCCACCCCTTCTGGAGCTCCAGGGACGGGCACCAGGAAGGATTCTCTCCAGCTGCAGGGCCTCCCGAATGGTCTTATTCCAAGACAGCCATTTAGCCAGAGCCCCACGGCCCCTCAGCACTCACCTGCCACTGCACAGACACACACACACACACACACAAGTTCATGGCTCATCAAGGCAGTAGGTGTGATTACCACAGAATTCTGTAAAACTGGACAGAACCCTGTCCATCCCAATCACTTTACAGATGCAAAGGCCCCATTCCAGAGTGCTTAAGGGATTTTTCACGCGGGAGGCTGGAGAGGGGCACAGGGCTCCTGACTCAGACCCTCGAGGCCGGTGACAGATGGGCTGAGGAGGAAGTCTCTGTTCTCGCCTCTCAAAAACATCTCCACTCTGCAGATGTCTGGAGCACCACAAGACTGGTCAGTCTCAGCCCTGAGACAGATTTTAAAAGTTGAGGAATGGCATGCAGGAGGAAGGATCAGAGGATTACAGATCTGGGGGTGGGACGGAGCTCAGAGGTTATCTGGTCAATAATCTCACTTCATGGATGAAGAAACAGTCCCCTGAAGGGTCAGCAGGGAGCAAGCAGAAAGAGCCAGGATTTGAACCCAGGACCTCGGCTTTTGAAACTGGCACTCTGTCCCCGTACCATACTGCTGATGGCACAAAAGAAGCTGGTATGGTCCCTGTCAGCCTCTGCCTCTGCCAAGCCTACCCAATGGCCGTGGTCTTCGCTGCCTGGGAAGTCGCGTTTTCGGTCCCTCCCAGATTCCCTGGGAGCCTCCTAGAATCACTGAGAGACTCTCAACTTCTGGGCATAGCTGTCGTCCTCGTGCTGGGGAGGACCACGTGGTGGCCCACAGTCCATAGACAGAGCTGAGGGATCCTTCAGCAGCACTGAACGTCCTCCAGAAGAGAAGCCCAGACCCTGGCAAAGCTGTGCGTCAATTAGCTCTCTCAGTAGCCCCAGCTTCCTCCAAAGCCCAGCCCAAAACGTCCGGTGTCCTAGGCTGCCAGCGCTTCCTCGGCTCCCTGCAGAGATCACCTTGGCTTGACTTTGTCCAGTGGAGGGGTGCATCAGGCAGAGGGCTGGCTTCCAAGCCAGGAAGGGCTGGGGTCAAGGCCCACAGCTGACACAAACTGGCCGCGTGGTCTTAGCAACGTCTCAGCGCCCGAGGCACAGAGAAGGCACAGCCAATCTGCGCTGGGGGAGGGCGGTTCACTTTTACTTTTATCTCTGTATCCCCAGCACCCAGCACAGTGCTGGGCACACAGCAGGCACTTAATTAATGCTTACTGCTTTGCTTAATGGATCATCTTTTGCAAGGACTTGGCATTCCTTTACATTTATTGACTTGTGTCTATTGTCCTCCCCTTCCAATAGAATGTAAGTTTCTTGAGGGCAGGAGGCATCTTCATTCTTGTCTTTGTAGCCCTAGCACCATGGACAGGGCTTGATACCTGCGAGGTACCTAATAAATGCTTGTCGATTGATGGGGCAGCGAGGTGGTACACTGGGTGGAGGGCCAGGCCTGGAGTCAGGAAGATCTGAGTTCAAATCTGGTCTCAGACACTTACTAGCTGTGTGAGCCTGGGCAAGTCACTCAACCTCTCTTTGCCTCAGTTTCCTCATCCGTAAAATCAGGATAATAAGAGCATCGACTTCCCAGGGTTATTGTGAGGATCAAATGAGATAATGCTTGTAAAGTGCTTAGCACAGTGCCTGGCACATAGTAGGTGTTATGTAAATGTTGGCTGTTATCACTAGTTACTATTAGGACTGGTCCCTACTCTTTTACTAATGCTCTCTACAGGGTCAGTTTGTCCCTTAAGCTCCTGTAATCATGAGGTTGTGAATTTTAGAGTTATAATGGAAGGGACTTTAGTCAAAAGGACCTGAGTTCAAATCTGGCCTCAGACACTTACTAGTTGTGTGACCCTGGGCAAGTCACTTCACCCTGTTTGCCTCAGTTTCCTCATCTGTAAAATGAGCTGGAGAAGAGAAGGGCAAACCACTCCAGTGTCTTTGCCAAGAAAACCCCAAATAGGGTCACAGAGAATCAGACATGACTCTCCATCACAACCCTCATTTTACAGATGAGGAAACTGAGTCCTAGAGCTCAGGAATTCAGGGTCACAGACAGATCTGGGCTTCGAACCCAGGTCCCAAGCCCAGCCCCAGACTTCCTCCTACTTGCCTGCCAAGCCCTGCTTCTCCCTTCGCCTTGGATTCCCCTGCATGTGTATGTTCCTGGCACTTTCTTAATTTTATCTCTCTTCTCACATTCACTCCCTCCCCTGCTTATTTTAAACGTGTGTTTTTCGATGTCTGGCTCAGCTTCCCACCAATCCCTGTCACAGCCCCTGCCTTTCCCATGTTCTGACTGATGAGATGCTGCAGGCACAAAGTACAAATAAGAAGTAATTAGGTGCCCGATGAAACATACCAATGACATAATGACATGCAGCTTTGCCAGGGTCTGGGCTTCTCTTCTGGAGGACGTTCAGTGCTGCTGAAGGATCCCTCAGCTCTCTCTATGGGCTGTGGGCCACCAGCCGATGCACTGGCCAGACTTAATAATGTCTAACAGTTTTCCTGGGAAGAAGCTGACTTCGGGTCTTCCAGGATCTTACGCAAGCGGTGAGTCTTTGTTCTGCTGACACCGATCACAGCCCAGGAGCACCCAGTGGGGAGCGGGACAGGACTGGTGTGATTTCATGTTGTGGGAGACTCCCAGGCAAGGAATAGGCAAGGGCCCCCAACCTGGGCCCTGGGGTGTTTCCAGAGGGAAGAGTTTGTATACAGTGTAGGTCTCTCCTACCCTACGCCCATTCCAGGGGCTCACTCCGGAGAACTGAGGATTGTGGGGAAGGAGGCAGGGGAGATGGCAATTGGATGTTCCCTTTGCTGATATGAGTGACGTCGTTTTAGACCAAGCTTGAATCTCAGTATAAAAGACCAGTCACCTCTAGCCTCTGTATTTTGCCTTTCTTTGCCTGAGATCCTGTCAAGACTAATCAGAAGGCAACCAGAGTCTGCTTTGTTGCCTCAGACCCTCGAGGCCAATGACAGATGGGCTGAGGAGGAAGTCTCTGTTCTCTCCTCTCAAAAACATCAACTGCTTCCAAGGTCAGTGACTGCTCTGCACCAAGCCCGACTAAGGGTTGTCTATAGAATGGAAGGTCCTATGGAAAGTGACTCCTTCAGAGCCCCCTCGACCCTCAGAGACTCCCTTCTCTATGGGCCAGCAGATGCTTCTCTGTGCCTTGGCTTGTGTGTGACTCTGGACCAGATGAAGCCTGCACTGTCTCATGCCCTAAACTGGACATAGTCGGGTTTCCTTCATGACAGAATGAACCTGAAGTGTGACCCAGGGGCCGGAAGTGTAGGGAGCCAGCATCCATTCACTTGGGAGCCTCAGGGCAGTGTCACTGGGTTGGAGAAATCATAATGGAAGAGGGAGAAGCCCCCAGACCTTGGAGAAGAGGGATGAGGGTGACTGTCAGAGAGGGAGCATTCCACAGAGCTCCCCCCAGTGACATACGCTGACTCTATGACCTTGGGGAAGTCAAGCCACTGTTGGGGAAGTCCCTCCCACTGACCTCCCTTTGAAGAGCCTTTTGGAGAATCCATTGACTGCAGTACCAGCCACCGCCTACTTCAGACTCAGACCTTTGCCCTCCACTCCTCAACAACAAGGCTAGCATCCTAGCGGCCCTAGGTCACCTGCAGGTTGGGTTAGCTCCCCAGCCAGCCTGATGTTTAAGGAACCCTTTTGTGTCATAGGGTATTCAGAATGAATGGAGCTTGCAATATTTGCCTCAGAGAAGTGTGGTGAAGATAAAGAGGGTGATATGTGTAAAGTTTATCACAATCTTCAGAAAGACTGACAACATAAACTCAAGGGAATGAGATTTCTCTCTGGTTAGACTTTGGAAAAACTGCAAAATGGAAACAAACCAGCGTCGGAAGTTCCCCTTTTCTTTGGCTGTCTCATGAGATGCCATGAACATCCATCATCCCCGCCACCAAGCCCTGCCAGGGCTGCATCCAAGTGACCAGCTCCAGACCCCAGGGTCCAGAGATCTGTGGCTCAATGCGGCCATCTGTGCCAGACATACTGACCATACCTGAGCAAGGGTGAGCCTCGCAGGGGCAGTGCTGTTCCACCCCGGGGCATGGCATTTCCCCTCTCCACACCTTTGAACACGCGTCTGCCAAGTCTGCATGTCCTCTCTTTTCCCTCTCAGATCCCTTTAATGCCTAGCTCAAGTGACACCGCTTATGGGAATCCTTTCCTGCTTTCTTCAGTTGTTAGTATTCTGCTCCACCCCCAAATTACCTTGCAAACATTTCATAGTGACTTATCAGAATATCCTGTGTTACAGGAGAATGCAAGCTCCTTGTGGGCAAGTATTATTTCATTTTTATTTCTGAATCCCTAGTGTCTCCTAGTACAGAGTTTAGTACACAACAGACATTAATGATTGCTTGTTGGATTAGGTTGGATGGAACAGCAAGGCTGAGAGTGGGGGAAGCCCATTGAGCCCAGAGGCCCCAGAGTCTAGAAAGGGTAACTTACATTTGTCCTGCAAGGAGTCATGGGGCACCTCTCCCTGGGGACTCTCCTCCAAGTCTCCGTAGTGAAGCACTTTGTGATTGGGCGACAGCCGACAATACCAGAATTTGTCTGTGGGAGAAAATACCAGTTCACAAGGTGAGTGATGATTCCCAAGACTCACGACGGCTACGCATACCAGCCTAAGCAAATGGGTTGTGTGTGAGTGTGAGTTTCAGTTCTGCAAGGATTACCTATGTCCAAACTGGAGAGCCCTGCTCTCCAGTCGGTCAGTGGCACCCTCATCTCTGCTCTGCCGCTGCCTGGACAAGAACAAAGCATTAATTTGGCACTTACTCTGTGTCAGCCACTGTGCTGAGTGCGGAGCAGTGACATCAATGAGAAAGTGACTCTAACCGCTAATCTCTGGGAGTCCATTCTCCTATTTACATTACCCGCGATGCAAAAATGCACATGGAACAGTCTCCTATGAGAAGATGGAGACAGAAAAACGTGGAAACTGACAGATAACCTTGCTTGGGGGGGCATTTTTCTATTAGACTGTCAACTCTGCGAGGCCAGCGAGTGCAGTTAAGTCACCTTTAGTAATATGGCGCAGTGCCTGGCACAGCAGCAGATTCACCATTAGTCTCTACTGAATCAGTAACAAATGGTGAATGGAGGAACAGGCTGACATGAATGGACCCCAGCTGGGGAGGCATTGAGAGGAAGAATTCCAATGGCTTCAAGCTTACGGAGGCCATCAGACTGAATACGTGCAGCTCAATGACTTGAACTTGAGCATCATCACTTGAGCAGTGACCACATCCCGCAAATTCTGACCGCCCATAGGCCCCCCTTTCTGCCCTCCTCTCTGCTTCCTGCCCTCAGCTGTCTAGTGAGACTATGGAGTCACAAGGTCATCTAATCCAAGCCTGTCATTTAGAAATGAGAACACTGAAGCCAGGAGGGAAAGGACTGGCTCAGGGACACTCAGGTAATACTTGGCAGACTAGGGATTTTAACTCAGACTTCAGGACCCCAGGTTCAGCACTGTCCTTTGAGAGCCGAAGGGACCGGGGTCTTGGGAAGCATGGGAGGCTGGGAGTCCATGTCGAGTCCCCCACCTCAGCCAAGAGAGACATCAGTGGTTTGTTGAGTCGAGAGGTCTTGGACAAAATTCATGAATATTAAATGAATGGATGAAAAAATAATTTCTTAAGCACTGATTATGTGCTGAGAATTGTGCTAAGCGATGAGAATGTAAATGAAAAAAATGAGACAGTTCTTGTCCTCAAGTAACTTACATTCTAATGGGGTAGGGCTGGGGTGGGGAGAGAGATAAAGTGGGGGAGGGGGTTTGAGTTGGGACAGGTGCAGGGATGCTGAGTGAGACTGTAGGGACTGATACACTGATCCTTCCAGAAGCCTGGAATTTAGGATTAGGTTGAGGACTGTGCTGGGAACAAGAGATGGAAAGCTGGGGGTGGGGGAAGGCATTTTCTCTCTGGTCATGGCAACAAATATGTACTAGTCTGACATCTCTTGAATGAAAAATTTCATTTTAAAGAGAATGAAATTTTCCAGGTTAAACATTTTTTTTTAGAAATATACCATACTTAATCTTAAAGTGGAAAGTATTTTAAATAGAAATTAAAAAAAAAGAAACTCTTGAAAACCCACCATGTAGGAGCAGGCTGTGGATTTCCTACCTTGGGAAGTTACAGAGGGAGCTCATGCCTTCTTCCTCTATCCCCCCTCCCCCAGAATACATGGAATGGGCCCTAAAAGAAAACAATGGAGGCCCAATGTAGGGATGTTGGGTCTGGGAGAAGGAGCTGGATAGCGGCTCATCGTTCCAGGAAGTCTCACATTATGAGCTGATCACGGCTCATATTTCTGTGAGAACATTTGGAAGAGGAAAAGCCATGATTATACCCAGCGTTCCTTCTATGAGTTTCAATCAGGCAAATGTATCATTATCTGTTTTCCATAGGGAGAAAATATGATCGCATCAATCCGACGTGAGAACTCCAGAGAAAGGAGGGGTGGAAGATTTGGGTTGTCATAGTAGCACTTTCTATGGTCTCCCCTCGAGGGTGGGATGCTTGAACCAGAGTTAAGATTTAAAGTCGGCTCTCTCTGGCTCTGCCTTCAGGGCTTGCCTCCTCCTTGGGAACATGCCCTTAGACCAGGCACCTCAGCCTGTCCTTTGACCTGAGCTATGGAAGCCTGGCCCTGACTCAGGATGCAGGCGGAGGCTCAGCCAGCCAGTCAACCATGGTTTAAAGTGCCTGCTAAGTGCCCGACATCATCCTGCCTTCTATCAGGATCTCATCTTCATTTCACAAACTGAAATTTGTAGATCAGTTGTTGAGGGGGACTAAAAGAAGGGGAAAATTATCAAAATTACTTTAAATTTGGTCGTGGTTTCAATAAACATTTCAGATAAGAGAATTCTCCAAAGTGGAGGGAAGAGTGAGGACAAATAGGGAGGCTGACTCAAAAGAGGGTGGGCCTGGGAATTGGGGGACTTGGGTCAGATCATTACTAGCCAGTGACCCTGGACAAGTGACCCAACTTCCCTGAGACTCAGTTTCCTTATCTGTAAAGTGGGTATAATAATGCTTGGTCTAGCTAGCTCTAGGGGAAAGGACTTTGTGCGCCTTCCCATAGTGTTCTGGAAGGGCAATGATCCCCATGCCACAGCTGCAGGGGAAATGAAAAAACAAAAAACAAAAAAAAAAAGGAAAACCCAAACTGGTGACTCAGAATTTCCCTCCAAGAGGCCTTTCCCCAATTCAGCTAAGAATGCAACCTGCTAAAAATGTGTTTGATTCATGAGTTAGAGCAGAGCGGCTCTGAGCCCCGTGAGTCGAATGGCTGCCTGAGCTGGCCAGGACAAGAAGAGGGCGGGTCTCTCAGGAGGTCCAGGCTGCTCCCAGCTGGGGAGCTATAAGGGCTATTGGCCCTGCCCTCGCAACCCTGATGGGAGCAGAGGACAGGTTTCCAGGGGGTTCTTACTGTAGCAAGCCTGAAGCTGGGTGAATCAAGTAGACTGGACACCATCTTGTCATCTAAGGGCCTCATCTGCTATGGTCTGGTGAACAATGGGCAGCGCAGGCCAGCGGTCACAGTTCTAGGTAACAACTACAACAGGCCTGCACATGGGCATGTGTGTACGTGTGTGGGAGGCAGGTAGGAGTGCCATCTTGGAAAGACATACATTCTTTAAATTAGGGGCACACGCCTTCCCCTATTTCCCACAGATAGATAGTCCCTAGGGGTTAAGAACCCTTGCCTCATAACAATGATCACAACGAAACCTCCTAACTAGGGGTTCTTAGAACTGCAGAATTCAGTGCAAACACAGGAGGAATGGCATATGTCAACTTTTATAGGCTGTGGTTTTGATTTCAGAGAGCGTTCAAGCTGGCGCATCTGACATCTTAAATACTGCAGCAAATGTGGTCAAACATAATCTGCCCACCCACCCATCCACCCCTCTCCCTGTCCACCTATCTAGCCACCTTCCTACCCAACTATTTACCTACCCATTTTTCCTACATACTCATCTATCCATCATCCCATATGTCTGCCCTACACAAATGCCATGCCCAACCATCCTACCACTCACCTAGCCACTCATCCTTACAGGTCTCCACTGACCCATTCACCCCCTTCCCAGCTATGCACCCATCCACCCAAACAACACGTCCAGAAGGCTCACTGTGTTCACAGCACTTGCTCTAGCAAGGGCTACAAGAACAGCTGGAGTTCAGACAGAGTAATGTGCTAGACGAACACAAATTACCCAGATATCTGGCTTCCATCTGTCAGGCACAGTACAATCCAACAACAGTGAAAGGAAACATGTTTGTTTTCTCTTTTTTGGTTTGGGGAAGTAAGGAGCAAACACACATTTTCCACATCCCCCAGACCATTAGTACTTTGGGAACTAAAGCACAGAAATATCAGCTCTTTCACTGGATTCTCTCAAAAAATCCCATCTGACAAGGATAATCACCCCTATTTTACAGATGAGGAAACTGAGTCTCAGAGTGGGGGAGGGACTTTCCAAAAGTCTAACCAGCCACTAAGTGGGTGGCAGGCATTGAACCCAGGTCTTCTTGTCTCCAAGTCCAGCTCTGCTGACTAAGACACCTTCCCCTCTAACGCCTCTACTTCGTGCCTCCCTTGAGGTCAATACTCCGTGGATGACCGAGCCAAGTCATGTTGGGTGCAGCTGACACAGTGTTGATCTGGGAGGACCTGAGTTGAAAGCCGATGCGGTCCGGCTTTATATTCTTTACAGCCCTCAGTTGGTCCGCTGTGTCACAAAGGAGATGCGTAATTGTGAAACTGCTTCTAAAAAACCGATCCTTCAATGACTTGAACATCGAGTTTCCCCCGGTGCAGCTTTCTTCTCCATGCATCTGTTCAGGTCCCATCCCATCATCTCCTCCAGAGCATCAACACCTCTTCACACAGCATGCATGCCACGGGCTGAGGTGGGAAGCCCCGACGCTTGGGTTCTGGTCTTTCTCATGAGATTAGCTCACTAGAGAGATGGCCACAGATCTGTTCCATTTTCTATCTGTTTGTTCTCCTTTCAGTTTTGTCCACACATGTTCTGGAGATGATGGGACTCCGCTGGATCTCATGCTAAGATCTCTGCAGAACTATTTTCTCCTCTAAGATTTTTTCTGTTTAATGAGACAATGCTGTTGGTAATCTTCGGCAACCTTCCTCCATAAGGCCACATCTGCTGAATTCAGTTAGCTTCCTTCTTTGTATCATCCCGTTTGGGGCTGGGACATTCAGCACCTCCCCACTCTCTAGTCTCTGTGATATGCAGGCTGGATGCCTCTGGGGGCCCCACATCTCTGGTCTCTGTCATTTTTGATGCCCAGTCTGATTTCCCAGTAGAGTTTCTGCCAGGCTTCCAGGTATTTACTTTTGCATCTAACAGTATATAAGCACACAGAAACTGACTGAGCTGCGAGCATCTTGCCAAGTTCTTCCCCACGTTCTCACCTTCTCTGTCCTCTGTAACAGATGCTGCCCCTTGGTTCCAATTATCTCTAGGGGGGTCTGTTTGCTCGAGCTCAGCGTTCCATGAAATTGTGTTT